TGATATGACTGCATTAAAAATACGGAACAATTCTAAGAAGTTTTAATTACAACTGGTCCAATTGTAATTATTATACCAAAAAAGACCGTGGGCGGCTATCCGCCCGTAAAATAAACACATAATTGTTTTAATGAAGTATAGAGATGCACGTACCTATTTAAAATAAGCTTACATATATGCTGTAAAAGACAGATCGAACTTAAAAATGACCGTAAATTTAGAGGCTCGTGCTTTCACCCCTGGTAAAATCGCACGACGCCAGCCCCTGTGCGTTTGTTAGCGCGGACTCCGAGAATCAGAGTAACTCCTGCGCAAAGTACACGACAACTTTGTTGCATGAAGTCACCTCTACAAGAACGCACAAAAGCTTTTGGCGCGGACGTAGAGCTACGACAGCTTTGCTCAATAGCATGGTAATATCTGATTTGGCTGGCGAAAATATTGTTTGGTGCCTTGAGCTAAGCTCGTAAAGAAAAGCGGCAGCGAGCCACTGTATCTGGATGAAACAGAATGCAGCGATCGTACGGCGTAGTCTCCTGGGTGCATTTCTGCTATGTCAGGGAATAACAACGAGATATCGCGGTCTCCAGAATGAGACGTTAGATTTTATCTGCTGACAGAGAAATCCAGAGGCTATTTCAGTGGGTCGTTTACAAACAAATCTGTGCTGTGGGCTCCAGGGAGTAGAGATGAGTCAGAGTGGCTTAGTGTCGAAGGTTATGGAGCGAAATCCAGTCGAGATAGGCGACAAAATTTACACATGAAAGGCCTACGTCCTAACGTGAGACAGGGTTGATCCACGCATGTCATAATGCCAGGGAACTTGACTTCGAGAAACCGTATGACGGTCCTCTTGTTTACCTTGCGGAGCAGTAAAGCTCGACCGGTTTGAGATGTCATTCCGGGGAGTTTGTGGAGAGCTGCACAAAATGAAATAGCCGAATGAGTGCGGCAATACCGAAAGATGAGCTGGGTTTGTCATCCGTCGTAAATTAGTCCATTATTATAACGACATTGAGTGCGAGGAGTGAGGCAGCTACCCACAAGGATTTTTCCGTTTCTTCTTATACTATATTGAAGAATTATTATGGTGTGGTGATGAGATGACCAAGCATCTTGACGAAAAGTAGTTTACTCACTATATCCAAATCTGTCACACACATAGGATGTGTTCTTGCACGATTCTCGATGCGGAATTCGTTTGAAAGTGAGTATTCCCACATAGTGCTAAAATTCTACGTCCAAAGTGCTACTGACAAGTGCGGGCTTATGAGAATTATAATCCAGCCACTGTTTCTGCGCAAACGTCAATTACTGAAAAGAATGTGCTTTTAAACAGCATGGTTGGCCGCTCCGTGATTAGTGGTCTGATCGTAGTTAATGTGTCCTATCGTACATAATTAGAGCTGAAATTATCGTTGTAAGGTGTATGCCAGGACGGATGCTTTAAAAGTGGTTGAACATGGCCGAGGGGCTACTCAGCAGATAAGCGAAGTTCATTCGTTTGGTGAAGCAGTCTTTTCACCCGTGTCGTGGTTAAGCACAATCGTATTTTGGCGAAATAGTTGTTTATTGTAATGCAGATCACGGGCTGCTGAATTTGTAAATCCACATCAAATACTTGCCAGCACTGCCCGAATGTATGTTCTCAAACAAGCTATTCTCTAATAGTGACAAGTGTGACTTTGGACCCGGCATAATCGAATCTCCGGATGCATTATTGAGAAGCATAATTTGCGGGCAGAAAAACTCCAAATAAAATGCGATTGTGCCTTGGCTGACCGGCTCCTCTTGCACGTATAGCGCAAAATATGCCGTCATGGCACACCATCCAAACAATGTTTTGCGAAATGGCATTACATGGTGCTTGGGCGCGATGAAAAAGACTGCCATCAAAGCTGAGAATGAAAGCCTCGAAAAAGCCGTATTTTTGGCCTTTTTAATCCGAACCCGCCATTTCAAATCGTCTAAGTCGTTCAGCCTTGTCCATAGGCTGCGTTTTATGCCAAGAAGAGGGCAATTGGTATGAACACGTCGTTGCATTTGATCCTAGCCAGCTTAAGTCGGCAGCAAAGTACCTCTCAGTTCATGACAAGGAGCTACTAGATATGCAGTATACTCTTGTCAGGTTCAGAGTGCAAATGCTGGGCTGAATTCTGAATGTGATCTGTTCATCTCATGCGTTGTCGCGCTCGGCGACGTCGTTAACGCATCTTTTACGGTGGATGTCTATGTGATTATCTTATTTTGCCATATATGCCCTCGCGGTAAGGTATAATCCGGGTTGTACTCAATGTGGTGATGATGTCGGTGTCGTGTCACCTGGACGGTGAGCTGACGCATTTCAGGATGTCACAATAATGAAGTCGCTTCGTTTGATGCAGCACGTGTTGCGTTGCTTAATGCTTCAGGAAGGATGGAATTTTTATAGCTCATATTCGCTAAATTGAGATCTTTATTGCACGTCTGCACCGTCAATTCCAATACATGCTGTACTACATAATTGATCCAATATACATTTAGCGTTTGTTGGTACCGTATGAGGAGGGCATCAGCCTAGATTGATGTGACAGGCACGTAATACCTCCTTAGATGGCTACCTCGGACGATATAGGACATTTGAGTCAGAAGCGCTATGTACTGGCGGTCTATACGTATAATTGGTTGAGTTTGCACAGGTGCAAATTGTATCAACGGGTTAAATCAACGCCGCATGCTTCGGCATCTTTGTCCAGCTTGCCAATTACTTTCGATTTCCCACAAGACGCGTCCGGTAATATTGACAATTTGGTCTTCGTGAGCCGTCCAGGCAAGATAGCTAGCATCACAATTACCGGTGAGAATCAGTTTAGCTGGTCTTCAATAAAAATTTTCGCTGATATGGCTTAGCAGCGACCGTATATTGGATAAGATTCAATCTTTTAGCAGGTATTTGCTCAAGATATTTGAGCCATGATCGCTCATAGACGAAGGGTCCGACATTACGCGTTAGTAAATCAGAAGAGAATATCATGTGGGGTACTTGCGTGGCGAGACCGCCATTTTAGAGCTAAGTGCTCCCATTCCCTGAGTAAATTGTTCGCGTTTCCACGGCCTTACCCCGCTTTTTGTTGTTCGTCTGGTTAGTCCCTCAATCCATTGACTTTTTGACGAGGCTCCTGTCTTTATGGGAGATGGGCTGTTGATACAAATCGACTCGCTGATATCAGTCCAGCTACATTTCGCCGTAGAAAATACAGGCTTCAACTGAAGGGATGCGCTGGGTGCACTGCGCTATGACTGAGAGCCAGATTGTGCAGAGCAAAATTTGGATTACAAAGGCAGACCAGATATCATGTTGGTCAGACGGTTTGGTTCCGGTACTAACCTACCTGCACATGCGTCTATTAGGCCAAGTTGCGATCCTGCTATATCAGACGTTTACAGTCGTAGTCAGAAAGAGATTAACCAAAACCGCAATGTTTGAAGAATGCGAACACATCTGGTTTCATGTGGATATGTTGAAGCCATCCTACGATTGAAACTATGTGGGCCATTTAGATCAAAGCTCTTTGCTTGAAGACAAAACGCCATCGCATAATCGCTTGCGGCTTCTGCTCTATGGAAAGAAGGTTCCTAGCCGCTTGGGGGCCTTAAGCTGGTCCTTTCGATGGAGTAGCTCGAAGAGCGCATCCACAAAGTGGCCCATTGCAGTATTGTCCGCACGTTGCAAGTTAATGTGATAGGCTAGTAAAAGCAGGCAATGGACGTGGCGAGTAGTAGAGAATAATTCTATGCGCAGCGGGTTCTTGACGAGCGTTCACATGTGCGCGATTTCAAAAAGGCAAGATAAGAATGACCCTTGTGTGTGACGCATAATGATAGCGGTTCTGATGATTTGGAACGGGTACAGAGGGTATCATTATCGATGTACACGTTACAGTATTGTGAGTGCAAAGCTCAGATGTGCCATAGTATTTCAGTAATTTAAATATCGATAAACATTTTTTTGGGATTTCTCATTTAGAATTATTCGATTTAAATAAGCAAAGTTGTTAGAACAATATCAATATTTAACTATCGCTCACATACGTAAAATGTTCATGACACATATTTATTAACATGATGGGGGTTATGGGAGGGGGTTACGCCGAAAGTCAGTTGCTGAAAGGCACAATAGTTTTATCATTATAGATTATAGATGATCAACGTTCAATAGAAGCTGATAGTTGTAATTAATGCAGGCTATATCAGTCTCTAATATACGCAATGTTGAGTATTCTGCAACGAAGTAGTCGTGCACTTTGCACAAATACAGCTTTAACTCTGGAAATCTACGCACAGAGATTGGGTGAGTGCGCTCCTACTAGGATTGTTGGAACCACAAGTTTTTGATCGATAATGCAGTTGCTTGAATTTAAATCTCAAGAGTACATAGCTAATACGGTTTATTTGTTCTTGATAAAGCTGCCATTCGTTTCTGACGTGCGACTGGACCCCTACGTTCTCCTCGGATATCCCTTTTCAGAGATCTATAGCCTTTATAAATAACGATGTCCCGATACTTATGTAAGTTCACGATTACATGTAAAATTTGTACAATGGTAACATGATGTATTTCTGAGTCGATGCGTAGGGTTAAGTAAACTTGCCTCGTGCCTCACCCCGCTAAGATGTGGACTACACTGGGGCTCATACCTTAAAAACACTGCACATAAGTACTGATTATCGAGCACCCGGTCTCACTTCACTCTCCGCGACGAACGTGCTCTAAATATTTCTCGTCAGGGTTGCCGGAGCATTCCCTGATGAAAGCACCCAGAGGAACTCTTTGAGTCTTGACCAGACAGCTCTACCCCCGCCTGCAGTATCCTTGCTGCTCGAAACTCGGATGTCGTGATCATTTCCATCAGCAAGAATTTTCTCGACACCCACCGTCAGGTTACGATAATACCCTGCTCGTTATCGAGAAGACCAACGTGCTATCAACTTAGCGCGAAAATCATACCAACCCTCACACCATGGTCGCGATTTTAAACCGTCTGAAGTCGACTGCTATGCTGGTGCGTGGCTCATACTATGCGTCCTTTACTCGCACCCAGAGCAAAATAAGCGCAGCGAAGTCGCTTCACAGACATTTTCTCAAGCCAAAGATAATAGAATCGTCTGCACTTGGAGCAGCTGCGTTTGAAAATACTCGTACCGTTCATTATGGATGTTTTCTGCGTACTGGATGCTATCGACGGGTATTTACCTCAATTTGTGCGCTGATTAAAGTCGCACGCTACATATTATCTTAAGGTCTTTCACAACCAGTTCCCTAAGCCATTAACTTTAGTTTCAGTGAGCGGACGTTTTGGTCACAATCGATCATCTCAAGCTCCTGCTGTACTCAACTTAAAAAAAACAGCTGCAGCAGCTACCGACCCGGGACCCACAATCCGCAAGGTCAATTTCTCGCACCAGCAAGAAGCACGCTGCGACGAACGACACTTCTTTAAATGGCTGAGGGCGTGACAAAATGTAAGCGCTACGAAACCAGTTTTTTTTGCCGAAGTGTGACCACACATCTTACGAGTTTCATTGCTGTGGTTACCCTTCGACTTCACCAATACTCAATCGCGCTGCCGGATCGCCAGACATTACACGTGAAAGTCCATTGTTCCTAAAATGGGGCTGCCGTAGCTGTTTCGCTGAGAAGAAGCTTGGTTCAGGTCGGTGACCTTCGTTCGATACTTAGAACCTGTACGAGCGTAGCTGATCGCAACCCACTTACTCCAAAAGTTATTACAACCTTAATTCCAGGCTTATTTACGCTTTTGCTCAAGATGTACGCTGTCTCTATCGGATTAATTTGCAGTAAAACGCCTATATCTAAATCTATAGTTTTATATCTATTTAGTAAAATGTAAGTTAATGTACAATTACTGGCAGTCCCGCCACATACTGACTTGCCCTACCATTGTGTGATTACGCCATATTGTTCAATCCACACCATTATATGGACACACTTTTTGTGACCCACACCCTTCATACCAGGGCACGTGAAACTACGTTACGGGGCTGATATCAACAAGTCGATTCTCATCGATAGCCCCCCGACTCCAAATTTCCTTTGTGGCACCCGGAAGACGTGAGACCATTAGTCATGTACTACGGGAAGTCGATATTTGTCTATTTCAAGTTGTCCACTAAAATGGTATAAAGCACAGTATTCTTAGCATGAGGTCTCGATTTTGAGACAACACTACACGTTGAGTGTCATTGAAGGCAGCAAGTCTTGAGATAAGACATAGCGGTGGAGGAATGCGGCCGTGCCTCAATGAATTGGCATTCGGGTCCTCTAAATTTTGATTTTAATACTTTCAGCAGCGTTATATTTGATGCATCTGGACGACACGCTGGACATTTTGCCTTATCAAATAACGACGGCATCATAGTAACACGCAAAAGTGCATAAATGAAGAAGGCGAAACCGCATCCACCACCACATTAAGCCGACCCGACGTATACCTTAAGAGATGTGGGGACGATGTCGCTCTGCGGAGCGACGCATGATCGGCATTGATCACAAATAATGGCTAAGAAAAAATGCGGTATGAACTTGACTACAAGTTGCGACTTGTGATATATGAGGAAGTTTATTGCAGCAGCTTTCATCGGGCGACCACAAACTCGATCACTCGTTCATACAAATGTCATCTGCTTGAGGGAAATGCAGCCCATTTCGAATGCTAAAGCATTACAAGACGACGAGTCATAGCCGATCAAGATTTGGCATACCAGAATCGGGGCACGCTTTTGTTGCCAGAGTCACAGCTTTGAAATTTTTTTGCGGTATATCAGCGTCTATGGCTTTGCTATTAGCTTGACACATTGCCAGAACTCTGGCATTCGCTGACCTGTCAACTCCAATAAATTATGAGTGAGCTGTATTACGTGTCGGTGCCGTTCAACTTCCTGTCAGCTCTTCTTCATTGCCACGGCAGAAGCGAACCGTCCACGTGAAGCCTTGATCACAAGACTGAGATCGTAAGTTACTTTCTTTACCGAGCAGGCACCGCTGCATTATCAAGATTAGACCCTTGGGGTGTCTTTGTCGGAATGACGTCCACACATGTGGTTTGTGCGTTGCGTTACGAATGACACATTTTTTTAATAGTGCATGGTGGACAAAATATCAACAATATACTTACTGGTTTCACACTTCTATCTTAAATGATTCCAGTGCATAAGATTTAGGCTCTGCGTTTGCGATTCGGCAATAAAGAATTTGCCTGGGCCACGTTCAGGATTCAATCCTCAACCCCAATACCGGGGTCGAGGCCAAGGTTGGAGCGGAATGACCCCAACCTTGAAACCACTACTGATCAGATGCAACGCCTTTTCAAAATGACTCCATCGCAATACTAGCATCACTGAAATTTTAGCCACTGGACAGTATGTCCACCACGGCCGCTGGCATTACTTTCGCGAGCTGACATCGAATATTTCGGTTCTGGATTGAAACTTTTTTTAAATGTTGTAGCTATTGGATAATTATTAAATTATGCTCAAGAACATATTTGTCATTCATTCGAGAGAAATTATTAAAATGTTACATTCAAAATTTTATGCTTGTGGCCATTGATTGATACAGCACCGTCACTCATGGTTGAGCATGACCGCTATGAGCACCCACTGGTGAGCCGTTACGCCACCAAGGAGATGAGCGAGATTTGGTCGCCCGACCGCAAGTTCTCAATTTGGCGCCAACTGTGGCTGGCACTGGCATCGTCCGAGAAGGAGCTGGGTCTTGCGATTACACAAGAGCAATTGGACGCCATGGCCGCCCATCTTACGGACATTGACTACGAGTATGCGGCCGAGATGGAAAATAAATTCCGCCACGATGTCATGGCTCACGTGCATGCGTTCGGAAAGGAAGCTCCTGTTGCTATGCCTATCATCCACCTGGGCGCAACTAGCTGTTACGTGGGTGACAACGCCGACATTATTCAGATCAAACAAGGTCTCCAGCTTATTCAGCGCAAAATGGTCAAGGCGATGAAGGTGCTTGCTGACTTTTCTCTTGAGTACAAGAATATGCCCACGATGGGCTTCACGCATTTCCAACCGGCGCAGCTTGTGACCGTTGGTAAAAGGGCCTCGCTCTGGCTGCAAGATTTTTGGCTCGACTTTCAGCATCTCAATGAGCAAATCGACAGTCTGCCCATGCGGGGTGTCAAAGGCACAACTGGGACACAAGCCAGCTTTCTTGACTTGTTTGAAGGTGACCATGAAAAGGTGCGTGCTGAAGCATGTTGATTTTGCGTAGTGATACCCATGTTCTGCCTGTTTGTAGGTCAAGAAGTTAAACGAGTTGGTGGCCAAAAAATTAGGCTTTAATAAGGTCATTCCCGTGTCTGGCCAGACTTATACTCGTAAAATTGACTACTTTGTGCTATCGATTTTATCGGGTATCGCTCAGTCGGCCTATAAGATGGCCGGAGATATACGCCTTCTTGCCAATATGAAGGAAATTGAAGAGCCGTTTGAGAAGAATCAAATCGGATCTTCAGCTATGGCTTACAAGCGCAACCCCATGCGCTCGGAACGTATTTGCAGTCTAGCGCGCTACGTGATTTCCCTGACGAACAACGGTGCACAGACCCACGCTGCTCAGTGGTTCGAGCGTACGCTCGATGATTCAGCTAATCGGTAAATTTGGTGGGCTGGTCGCAAAGATATCGAACTCACAATTACTGTCTGCTACTTGTAGCCGAATGGTGCTGCCAGAGGCTTTTCTCGCTACGGACGTCATTCTTAACTTGGTAATCAATGTGTCGGACGGTTTGCAAGTGTGGCCAAATGTGATAAAGGCGCATATTAAAGCCGAGTTGCCGTTCATGGCTACAGAGAACATCTTGATGGCTTGCGTCAAGGCTGGTGGTGACCGTCAAGAGCTGCATGAGGCCATCCGCATGCACTCAATGGAGGCAGGTAAGCGTGTTAAAGTGGAAGGCGCTACCAATGATTTATTGGACCGCATCGCTGCCGATCCGCTCTTTCAGGCCGTGCATGGCCACATGGACGTGCTATTGGACTCATCGCGTTTCATCGGCCGCTGCCCGCAGCAAGTGGAGGAATTCATCAGCGATGAGATTGCACCAATTTTAAAAAAACATGCTGAGTTGCTCGAGGTAGAAAACGTCGACAATATTAACGTATAAGCAGCGCCATAAGAGCATTAATACAAGTTCACCCAATCTCGCACACATGTAACTTCACGATACCATAGTAGTAACCACATCAGGTATGCGATTTCACAGGAAATAGTCCATGGCTCCATACACTTTTGCTCAGAACCGCTCTTTACAAACTTACGGCATGTCAAGTAGCTCGTCCAGTGACTACTCGGACGAGGACTTGGAGACAATGCGGCCAATCACTGTAGCTCCAACGGCTCCAAATCTCGACCAAGTAGTTGAGTTGGCGCAAATCTGTTCTTTCTGTACTACATTTCGCCAGCCACTGCGCTTGCCAAGCTTCTCACGAACGGTAAGTCGTCGGAAAAGGACCCCTCGGTCTCAAATCGTTTAATGGAGCTTCTGAAGCGAATTTTGAGTCTCCAGGGATGCGGGGAGACACTGATACGTTCGTAGATGCCTCGGCACCCCCTCGTACCCTGAAAACTTGAGATTTGTATGCAGGGCGCAGTTTTTACTATTTCGCTACCAATGCTTATCAAACGTGTAATGTCGTTGTATGTTGGCCTCAGGACCTTCAAGAAGCCATTTTAAGCGCGCCAAATGGCGATACAACCCACGTAAGTCTGCGAAAAGGATACAGCATTGCTGTGGTGGTACGAGTCATGGTGCTGACAGTCCAATGGTCGACTAGGTGGAATTGCTCGCTGAACTGCACTTCAAGTTGGCGCGCGAACACCCATCGGCAAAAATGGAAAAAATGTAGATGGCGTACTTGTCAAGTGGTGATGAAGCTGCTAAGCCGATAGATATACTGATGAGTTTTAATTGTGTGACAGGGTTCAAGATTGGGAAAAAACACTGGCTCGTAAACTACAAGATAACTGGCGCAAGGAATTCACTGCGAATCCCATGGCTGGCGGCGTTGCGTATGGAGACTTGGTGGTGTCTGAAAGGGTGAGTGACGTTACTACTCACTTTGATCGTCATAGTGACATGTTTTTTGCATCAGGTTAAAATTCTCGATGCGCTGTGCCACTGGAAACTTGACACATGTGCCGATATCCAAAAACATATTGCCACACTGCAGAAAGAAAATGACATTGAGGCCATTGACCGACTGGTAAGAGGACTGTTTGGAATTATTGTACGTGACATACGTATGAGCTTACAAGAGCTTGTGTGACAATAAACGTAGCGAGCAGGCGAGATCGGAACGGATGACAACGGTGTTTCGTACTGGTATTTTCATGATGCATGCTGGGTGTATGCCGAAGATAAGCTACAATGGCAGCTTGAAAATCGGTACGGTCGTTTCCCAAATATCGATGTGGTAGCATCTCAATCATGAGTCTGCGTCCTATTGTTCTGTAGCGAGCAGTCATATATGGTTGAGTTCGCAAGCACTAAACGTATTCGGTTATCAATCAATTTCGACCCTGATTATACGTCTCCATCGCCAACGCTTGGCTTGCCAGTGGAAGTCGCGACTGATGGTAAAGGTGTGATGAAGGAGACCACGATGCAAATCCCATCAGAACTGAAGTTTAATCATGGCGAAAAAATTTCCGGGACTGATAAAATAGAGCCTGGACAGGCAGCAGCCGAAGTGGTCTGGGCGGAGAAAAAAGAGCCCGAACATGGTCATGTACCCACAGACGTTGGTGTGATTTCATTAAAAGAAGGATCCTCACCTGCTTTAAAGACTCTTTCCGATAAAAGTATGGACACGTGTATGCCACAAAGCCTCAAAGCTGTCTCTACCCAGTCGAACAGCCTGGAGGATTTTGATAGAAATGGCAATTTTATCAAGGCGGAAGCAATGGCTAGTTTTGCTTCCGTTACTGTAGCCTATGGATCCCAAGCTGAAGAAAATGCAAGATGTTGTGACAAGAGCAACAAGAAGAGCCTGGGTTTACACGTAAGGATCGATGCTACTAGAAGTTCAAAAATGGAAGGGCCTGGAAAAGCTTTCGACAGTTTACTTGACCAAACCCAATCATGCGTAGTAGCTGTCGTAGGCTCTAAAAAGCGTACAATTGTCGACGATGACAGCAGCGGAGGCAGCAGTAGTGAAGCCGAGACCTTGGTTCGATTGACAGGTGCGAAGTTAGATATGCAGGCTGTTGCATCTACGCAGCTGCAGAAGAAACGAAAAACCAGCTTTGGGGCTAAAGGCCCTACACAAATACCGTGCGCCGAAATATACAAAGATCAATTGGACACTCACGCAAATAAATCGTCATATGTTCAGGCTGAAAGCGATGCTTCTGTCGCAGAGGATCACACAGCACCTATTATGGCTAATTCTGTGTCAACTGTGAACGAGAGATTACCCGCGAAGATGGTTGATTATTCGAGCTTGCTAACCGCAGAAAAGGAAGAAATCAATATGGCATGTAATGTTATTAAGAATGGCTCCACCGAAATCAAGAAAATTAAGGATGCTGCACGTGAAGTAAAATTATTAAGCTCGACTTTAAAGTCACCAACTGACCCAGATGCAGCGCCGGAACTGTTTGATATTACCTGCGAGAGCTGCAAAAAATGTTACGATATGCGGTATGTAGATCCTCCCCTTGTTGAACGTCCAACGGAAGAGTGGCGGTGTTTTGAATGCCTTGTGAATGATGCTCGGGGATGGCCTCGCCGACGAAAATCAGCACTTCGGGAAACATACTCTCCCCGTCGAAATGATTTGACGTCTCGAAAACGGGACTTATCGTCAAAGTCTCGCAGCGGGTCGTCGTCGTGGAAAAGTCCTGCAAAAAGCTCAAGTAAACGTCCTAGTTCATTTTCGAATTCTAAAAGCAGCAGCCATAGTAAAATTTCTAAGCGAAAGTCTTCTAATAGCAAGAGCGGTTCCAGCAAAAAATCGTCCTCTAAAAAACACAAGAAGCGCAAGTCCTCATCATCTTCGCACCATCACCACAGCAGTCACGGACACCGACGGCGGCATCACAGTCACTATCATCACGCTGAGTTTGCCAGGCTTGTTGCCTTGTTTCAGGAGCGGCAAGAACAGCGCCTTACTATAGAAAAGTCTCGTATCTGTGGAGATCTTGAGATGACGTATGATGACGGTCCTAAAGGTTGGCGTGTGGTTAGCTCGACGCTCGATGAGCTGCAAGCGCTTATCGAATCATTATCAGGTGGGTCTTTGGAGCAAAATCGCCTGCGAGGACGGCTGATTTTAATTCTTAAGGATCAAGAGAAGAGTGACGAGCAACGGCGTAAGCAACAGGAGCTTGCGTGGAATATATTGCCGCGGAGACAGTCATCTCGTATTGCGATTGGAAGAATGAAAAATCAGTCTGCAAATGAATCAGATGTACGTTGTAATTACACTTGTAGTATTTTGAAGTTGATCAGGAGGAAACGATTATTGTCTACAGGCGGACGATAATTGCTCTGAAAACGACAGAGAGAGCCGTCGTCTGAGATTGCGGTCAAGAAAACTGCATTCCGCGACGTCTGATTGTGACGATGAAAAACACAAGCATGACCGGTACGTTTTGGCCTTTGTTCTCTAGAGGTATACACCAGGATCGCTCATTCAGCTTTGGTTGCTCAGAGCTTGGCGGGCACGCCGGCGGCATAATGGCCTTGACCACGATGAGGAGGATGAAGATGATGGGACAATGGCTGAAGATTGGGTAGACTGGTCCCTGGTAAAGGTGAGAGAATCTGGTTTATAGGCTACTAAATATGGCAATGGTTACTAACTAAACACGGTCTTACTACCACAGTGCAACCCTCATTCTCTTTCAACGGTTTGCTTGGCACTTGTGAATCGGCTTTTAAAGGAAGAAGCCGCGGTTTGTTTAATCGTAGTACACTTATTTGCCGGCGAGACGATTGACTTGAACTTTTTCTGTTCAGGATCTATTCTCACGACCTGTGAACCCAGAACTCGATGGCTGTCCAGATTATTTGTCTGTCATCACACACCCAATGGATCTGGGTACAATTCGGTCTCGTGTTGAAAGCAATTACTATCAGGTGCAGCATATTGCTTTTCACTAATTGTCATAGTTCAGAAATGACCATCAAATTTTTGTGTCGATATTTAATCGCCGTTGCTAGAAATGGAATTTATTTAAAGAGGAAGTTGAGCTCGTATGGCGAAATTGTCGTACATTTAATGCTCCCGATACGTTAGTCGTTCAGTTTGCCAATGAGCTGTCAAAGCTTTCGCGTTCCATGTACATTGCTGCAGAGAAAAAAGGAGTGAATTTTTTGAAGGACAAGACGTGTCGAGATCTTAATGACAGTGATAATCATCTGAGTGACGTGAGCAAAGCAGAATCTCAATCCAGTATCAACAAAGCATGGTCTGAAAGCAGTGCATCAGAAAACAGTGACTCGAGTGATGGCAACTCGTCTTCTGCTAGTGACAGCGATAGTAACACTCGAAGGCGCGAGCGAGTTAACTCACGCACATCATGTGAAAAACCGCTGACTCGCCCGCGACTCAACCGCCCTCGAATATCAGTTGATCAGGGCAGTCGGTGCCGTTCGTCCAGGAAACGGCCTGTGCCACCCTCTATAAACCAGAGAGGCGAACTTATAGCATCTGCGACCGAGGTGCTTTCTCCTGTTCGAAAGTGTCGACAGCCAGTTCAAAAGCCGTTTTTGAAAAGAAACGATCAAGTCGAGCCTGCGTTCAACGACGAGGGTTCTAGTGGTGGCGATTGCACGAAAAATCAGAACGGCAATCTGTTGCTTTCTCCAACTCGTTTGCCGCCACCTCATGTAGCGCAGAAGCGCCCAACACATCGGCTCATCATCAGTGATAGCTCCAACTCTGATGACAGCTCTGATAGCGGCAATTCGTCCACTTCATCATCATCTGATTCAGATGACTCAGATAGCGATGCACGTTCACTAAACAAGCACCCACAACCACCTTCGCCATCCGCTGCTGTAGTCCCCACTCCCACTCCGCCCCCACCTACGCCACCTCCTCCGGCTACGTCACCTATAAAAAGGAGGTCCTCAGCGCAAGCGACGTTAGATCAAAGGCTTGATACGAATACTGGAGCTAGCCAAGATGGAGAGACGACAGAGCCATTCCAGTTAAGGCCTGATGCTCTTCCCGCTTGTACTCGCTCTCCAGCTTTTTTGAATCCGTACCTGTCTTCGTCATCGTCGTCCGATCTTTCTTCGAGTGATAGCGATTCCAGCGACGGAGACAGTGAGGTCGACTAACCGTGTAGTCTGAAAAAACGTGAAGTCATACATTGTCAAGCCCTTGCACGGATTCTTTTTTATTTCGCACGATTTAAAGAAGTTTGGTGGTGGTTGGTTTTGAAATTCCTATTTATGATAATACTACAGCCAATTACGAGAAGTAAAGTACGTAAACAATAATTCCAAATACCGCTAAGTAGCTAAGGTTCACCTTGCTGGCCAGAAAGCGAAAGTTGAAGTGAAATCGCACAAAATTACTTCCAGGCTTCACCGACACATTGTCTTCAAACCTATTTCCATGATATGGATTTACGAGTCCAAACTGCATGTTTAACCAAGTCGACACCTTGTAAGAAAGCCTCACGAGCCAAACCACCTCATAAGAACAAATGGGGCTGAGCATTGGGTCGCCAATGTATTCTGCAGTTTCCGGCGAGCACAAACGCATTCCATGTTGTAGCTGAAAAATACCTTCACGAGAGAGCAAATGCGGTAACTTTTCGTCACGACTTGGAGCGAATGACTCTAAAGCACTGGTACCTGTCGTAGATGACGGGTACGAGTGAACTGTTGAGGCCACATAAGCATCTGAGATCTCAAATACTCGCCGCAGTAAGCGACTGATGTTTTGAACCTGCTCAGTTACCCTGTCAACGGTTTTAGTGCTTGATGCGCGAAACACGAAGCTTATATTCTGGTACAAGTTGGCAGAGGATGCTGAGGCCGCTGTTACACCAGTGGCCCACAGCTTGTCATAAAGACGTTCTGCATCGCGATGAAAGCTATCGTGAAGTGGTACAGGAGTGAGGTCGATACCAAGAGACTTGCAGTAGAACGTCAATACGTGCGCTTGAGTAGCTGTGAGGCCTTCGCACGCCTTCAAGGACTTGGACTTTGAAGAGGAACCGAAGCTTCCGCTACGCAAACGTGTTAAGCCTGTGTGATTGCTTGAGGGGATAGCAAAAGGCTGACACTTTTCGAGATGAAGCGACGCACGGCGTAAAATGGCCAACAGATGCGGGTTGTATATCCTCATGACTCGTTCCACAATCTGCAGGTTAGGCTCATTGCCAGAAGAAAAGTCGAGATCTTTTGCGCGCGCCACAAACGCGCCTAATAGTGTCGTGTAGAAGTGATAATTTGCTAGCACGTAGCTTTCCCACGCAGATGTGTACCCGGAAATTGTGCCTCGGTCCGTTATAATTCCTGTTGCCTCCACCTCTGTTGGATAGATCCAAGACCTGCAATACCAAGGCTGAATATAAGCGAGCCAAACCTCCGTTATAGCCAGAAAAGCTGTCGGGGAGAAATCAATGGGTGCCCGAGAGAACACCAGCCGGAAGAAAGAGTACAGTGGAGGCCGTAGCATCGTAACAGTACGACTGAGATACACCCCAGCGCCCCCCTGAGACCCGATTACTGAGTCCTCCGCCAAGGCAGCAGGAAAAAATGAGTCAGCAAGTAAGTGGATAATCGCGAGTAATAACGAGCTCAACAAATCATCTGACGGTGCCATATAACTTGTCGTTGTATACACTGATGCAAAAGGGCTAACGCTTTGCATAATATCCGGTGGTGGTGAATGGATGACACCAGAAGGTGCACTTGTAGCCACGAGAGGCGCATCTGAAAATGAAACAAGATTTTGTCGAAGCCAAAACTCGATCAAAATGTGGAGAAAGAGGCTTGAGTTCTTGAGCAATCTGCCGTGAAATCGGCTTTTAACACCGCGATTGCTGTCGGGCAGAAATGCTCGTAAATACTGCAGTAGTAGCACATTGTACGGGTTACCTCTAGTCAACGCCGCGACGCCATCTTTCTCGAACATTCTCCAGCTTGACTGACGAGTCTTAACAGCTGTAGAATGTGACGGTGTCTTTGAACCGTCAGAGCTCGCTTCCAACGTGCCAGATATCGTTGATGTTGTACATCCATTTGGGTGTGAAGAGCTTGCTGGGTGCCGGAAAAAATAAAAGAGATAGAGCTCGGTAATGGACACGAGGAGCTCCGGATTGCGAAGATCCAGACGCTGCTTGGTCAGTGGCTTATGTAGCAATTGTGTGAAGAGCAAACTAACCCCTCGGCCACTCAAAATGCTTAGTTTGCTCTGCTCCGGTAGAATGTCCAACCCTAGCTTAAACTCCACGGGATGCTGCACTCGAAAAAGGAATTGAAACACCGAAGTATTCTCAGAACGCACGCCGCCTCCCAGTAGTTTAATAATGGCACGCCCATTGCTACTCAAACTGACTACAAAATCGTCAATGTTGTCTTCATCCGAGGAGACACCCGCTGCCATGCGCTTTGCTTTCTCTTCAGCGCGTACTTTAGCCGCGAGCGCTGCGGTAGATCCTTCTGGAACCGGCCTTGAGCCCAGCCCGGCGCTGTAGTCGAGCCATCCACCGTCTTTTTGCTTGGAAATGGCGTCAAGACCAAATATGCGATCCAGAAGACGGTTAAAGCGCTCGTAGAAGATGCTACGCAGATGTGCTGACTGCTGCTTGACCGCTGAACCGGTTGACATACTTGCCTGCGTCTCAGCTGCCAGGTATCGATACAATGCCTCAGCTATGACTGGCACATCGTACGAATTAAGAGCGCGCTCAAAATCATCATCTGAACCATTAAATGTTAAGTTAGAAGAGACGAGAGCAGCAAGCGACGTGGAGTTTGTTGTGTCGGAGCTTTTGACGCGCCGCGCCATTGCAATATTAAGACTACTCTAATCTTAAAAAAATTTAAAAATTCAAGTTGAAAGACTGACGTAATTCAGTCTATATTCACAGCTTCTTACTAGAGTAGGACGCCTTTGCTTTTAAAGTACAAAACACCCACAACAAATGTGCCGAGGAAGAGCAGCACAGTAAATAGAGCAACACCCCAGAACCATCCACCAGCAGTTTCATATCCAGAATGCAAATTCATGCCAAAGACGCCGGCAACAAATGTACCGAAGGAACAACTGATAACTATAATGGAAAAGATGAGGTCTACACCAAGTAAGTAGTTTCGCATGGAGTCGAGCTGCATCATGACAAAGCTTTCCGTATTCAAAATGCGGTGTTGCAACAGATTGGCCTTGGTGCGAGTAGAGAAGATGTCTTGCAGATAATTTTCAATCAGCACTTCAATTTCTTCCGAGTCGATGCCCCGAAGATCCGCGAGCAGATTAGGCTCATCGTACAGCCTCGTGAGATATAATAGACGAAGATCCTCTTCATTATCTAAAAGTACCATCAAAGCGCGACGCACTCCATCCACTTGAGCCTCAAATTCGTTTACAGTATTTTTGAATTCCCGCAGTTTCTCAAGCTCTTGGGATTTCAGGCCGCCTTGTACTAAACTGTTTAAAGCTGCAACTCCAACGGGAGATAAGTGCTCGTACTGGGACTGAAAGTAACATGATAGAGTCGCCAGGAGTGCTTCCAGAGCTCTGTCTTATGATAAAATGTTAGCATTTAAAGAAGTGTTCAGTAATCGGAACAATACCTAAATTCAAATGGAGCATCATTTTCCGGTGCGGTTTCAGCAAACTTTGCTTTCAAGATGGACAAAAGGATATCTGCTCCGTCTGGAATATATACGAGGCACTGATTACGCATTACGATAGCACGCAGCGGATCTACAAGACATATCCTTTAGTGCTAGAGTGCTCGCATTTTACCTACTATGTCCTACCAGCACTTATTAATATTGCTTGTCTTCGAATGATAACGCGAGGTTCATTTGTCACTGAAAACGCATTTTCCATCTTGCGAATATCACGGGAGTGAACGCGCTAGAAAACAAACATTTTCAAAACCCCAGCTATACGTTTTGTAATAAAGACACGCTCAACATTTTACAGCTTACCTGAACACTTACTGCGTGCAATTCCTGCTGACTTAGTGAACGATGTTGCTGACCGAAATTTCGGCTTTTTCCAAAAGTTGCGCTCCGAATTAATGGTGACATTGCTTTTGAGTCCGGCGAAACGCTCCCTTCACGTAGAGTCTCCTTTGGCTTTGCAGCGTCTTGCGTCATGCACAGAACATCGTGACGACTCATCTCTTTTAATGTTGGTCTTCCCTTTCTGTCGAAGACCATCACTAATACTCGGCCACTCTTTGCTCCAGGGTCAAAATAACACCCATATTTGGTGCCATTGGAGCCACCTGACGTAATACTGTCCAGCGATCGGACTTCAGCCATGCGTTGATAGGTCCCATACGCTGTTGCCGGGTTGACATAGTTCATAGATTGCTCAGGATGAAGTAGTGGAGGTAATGGACACAACTTGCTCTCATCCCGCATGCCCGTCATTACTTGCTTTGACATCACCCACAACAATTTCTACTTTTCTAACGGACGGATAATAAGATTCGGTGATTTGATCAATCTTTTCTAAATCTCTGTGTTGGCAACTTTTTGGTGGTAAGTCGTCATTCTTGCATTACAATAGACCGCATGTCAATACAGACAAGAGCATCTTACTTTGAGACTCTCACAACTTTTGCAGCCCGCACCTGCATGCGATTAACGCTGACTTCTTCTTAGATGCCATCAGTTATAATTACTTCATTTTTGTTCATCCAATTTCCACTATTTTGTCTCTCAAAACTCAGCTTGACTCGTGATTTTTTCAGTAAATTCACGCATTAAAGTACCCAACAAGAGTTATCTGAAAAGGCACTTCAAGCTGCTTCTACTTACAGATTATATCAGCCTTAACGCTTCATCTTAACAATGTACTAGCGCTCATCGGAAGCAGTAAATAATTCGATTTGTTTGATAAGTGCTCCCGGTTAGCGACCAAAGCAAGTTTATGTCAGTGCAGTTATTTCAATCCCAGCTCAATTTTGGGCGAGGATCTGCCTGCATTACCGACGTGGCAATAGTCACTTCATTCTTGGCATTAATTTTTTTTATATATTATGCAAAGACTTGGCTCGTCACCAACACATCGGAGCCGAACGCAGCTAATGAAGTAGACCCAAATTCAATCTCTCGGACGAAAAATATAGTTGTGACCTACCGGGCACAACTATATTTTTCTTTAAATCAGTAAATTAGTCGAATGCTGAAGACTTTGTAATACGCTCGGTTCGAATCACCTCCGGTTTAAAATTTGTTTTATCGCATAAAATTGTTACTGGCGTTTGTTAATTGTCTCACAAGAAGGTGGCGGAGACGCCGGCATGTATGACTCTGACAATATATTATCCTTCACCCATAATACCACTTTTGGCTTTGACCTGTTTTGTAAAAATGCCGCAGTCTAAATAGGGGTGACATTCATGTCTTTTGAGCGGATGCAGACGTTTAAAGAGAAATCTGCCACGTAATCGATCTTAAGCTGACTTCGTACCATAACATGCATAGTCTTCGACCAAGGTTGAGAATGGATGTATGCTGTCAAAATTGTGTATCATTAAAGCATAGGGTCTATTTGAGCAGACGCTTTGTTTAGTATTGATACTACAATACACTTTTGATTAGATTATGACGTTGACTGGTTTCGAGGAAATAGCACTTTTGACCTCCAAGGACCAGATATTCGACTGGAAGCATTAACCAGCTGTGGGAATGCGCTGGTGAGGAATGCTGGCTCGACCAGGTGTCGATAAAGTGCATATTCTTTCTGCAAATTCTTTCTGCAAATTCTTTCTGCTGGTCTTGGCTTTCAGCCATCGCATCGCGAACGTGTAGGACACTCAGTCTGGTAGACAAGAAGTCATCGACTTCTTTGCGGATGGTAAGGGAACTGACATCAGGAGCTGACCCGCTATGCCGATTTGTATTGCCTGATGACAGATTTTTGGGCATACCGCAGTGCTTGTAACTAGATGAGCTCGACAGATTATTTAATCGACGAAGGTTTCAGAATCCACAACGAATTTCTCGGTGCAATCCGTTTTATTTGTCAAAGAACATCGGCACTCGTATATGCGCAAAACTGGTCGAGCTTCTCGACAAGTCAAATTAAAAACGACAAATGTGCAATGCGCTTCGTGACGGCGCAGAGGGAGCCCTGGAAAGAGGGTAACTGCTCAGTAATGAGACATAAGTCATATATTGCACATTCACTTCAAGCTGTGCTCGCTGGTGCGCCGATGCATGTCTGTGAGCCGGCGGCTCACAAACAGGGTCCGCTGGCAACAAAAAAATCAGTCAAGAAAAAAGCAACAAGGAATTCGAACTACACCTCACTGGCATCCATCCCTAAAGTATTTGCCCTGACAGATATCGTTCAGGATCATACGAAGGTCATCGAGGACTTCGAGACTGACGCGATGACAATTTAGTGGAAAAAACTGGATTACTTAGCTTTCAGCAAATTCGTGATGCTGTAAGCTGGCAGATAGATGAGCACGCCGCGGACGGCATCAATATCAGCCAAAAAGGCTTTCGACAAAATTCGACTGAAGGTTATGATATGTCGCAGAGTGACTACCTATTTTCATTGATTGTCTATAGCAAAACATCGACTCAAGCGAATCCAAAAACCAGTGCGCTGTGATTATACTGCCCACAGCGATGAAGCTGTACACATACTATGCTAAAGTGCTTTGAATCTGTCATAGATGGTATGAATGCCTTCTTCGCTCATCTATCAACGTTTGCGGAGTAATGGATTTTTCAAATTTGAAGGAGTAATTGAATATCGACGACTGGTTTCCGTTCGATGCTATCTTCGGATCCTGAGCCTAGATCGCAAAGCGACCCAGTGGTGAGAAATATTCGACGTTCGTGTTCGCTTTCCCATACTTGCAGATGATCCGCAGATAATTGCAAGATGTATTGCTCTTCATTGAAAACAACGCGTAAGTAGGAAAATGAACCATTCGCCAAATAAGCTCTTTGCGATATGAGGAACGTGTGGCGGATTTTTTTTCGGGGTGATTTCGCGGGATCGATCGCGATTTGATGTGAATTCTCATTTGAATTTTAGACTTATCGACATAAGTCACTTGTCTCTACAGGCGTGGTGCCGCTTGATGGGCGTTGTGACCACGATCGAGCAAGAAAAGTGAGTGCTCGCTATTTCTTGTTAGTGACGTTAACTACCTCTTCTTTTAACCAGTTTGTGTAAGAGATAGCGTCATTGGTAAACTTGGTGCTCTTTTGTTTGGAAGAATGGAACAGCTTGTTGAGGAGACGTTGGTGGAGGTGGAAAGAATCCAGTTATCTAGGAAATGCAGCGCCAAGGCAACTTTGTTTTCAAAATGAAGATTAGCCCAATACTCCGTCCTTTGTTCTGCTGGACGGCAAACAAGACGACGTGAGTCATCCTCAGTAGGTTGGTAAGAAAATAACTAGGTTTCGTCCCACGGCAGTGCCTTCTGAGCGTGCATTCTCGAAAGGGCACAATGTCGTCCCTGAAAGGGCTACGCTCACACTGATGATGATTAGACACCTGAAAATGCATCTTCAGAATGCAAAGTTGGATTTCACAATGATCCGGGCGTCACTTCTGCCAGCAAAGGTGATCTTCTTCTAATATTGAAAAACGTTTAAAGCCATTAATTTGAAACCTAGAGTGCGATGGCAGCGCCAATAGACAGCAAATTCTATTGTTATTTATATACCATTCGAAAGCTTTCATGACAATAAACATAAAGAAGTACTGCCAATTCAGCTGATATTTTAATCACTGCGCAAAAGCATTAGTCGAATGCGTGCGCAAGTTCGGGTCGGCTTCCTGGTTGTTAGCGCTTTGAGGGTGACCTCAATTGACTTGGGCAGGTGAACAAACTTGTCGATGTCCGAGCATGAAAGCGTCGCGCGCAAATTTCAGTGTGCTTTAGCGCCAACAATACACCCATGATATTTCGAGTGAGAAACTACATATTTCTGACCCTACTGAACTTACATCCTTTTTGGCCATTTGACGGATATCAACGCCGTTTGCGGTAGAATTTGCAGAAATGCGTCGTTGGTCTGGCCGATGCGATCAATGTATGATCACTGACCACAGTAAATCTTGTATGCTGCAATACTATTAAATCCGGATTATCATCGTCCTGGCATGCAAAACAAGAACAATCTTCTTTATCGACGGTTTGCTGAGGCATTGCTGGATTCGCCTACAGGTTTATATGGAAGTGGTGATGCATGCAATTAGCGCCTTGTTCATATCCTGGACCTGATTCTGCGTATGATAGACTTCATGGTGCTGTTCTTCGACGAGATCATGAACGGCTTGATCGTGATGAACTTTAGTCACTCTCTCGATAATTGCAACACACTCGGCCAATATTCGCTTAAATGTCACGACAATCAAGTTGTCTTGCACTGCCTTGCCCAGGCTAACCCAGAGACTAGCCATGTAGCTGGGATTTGGCATATCCCGTAATCTTGGTACCTCTACCAATTAGCGCGAAATTTGTTATGTGCTTTGTCGAACACTCACGCAACTTTTACGCACTTCATTCAATTTTTCTCCGTGAGTGTGGCCAAAGAGGCCACAACAAGCGCACATACACGAATAATTAGAGTGTGGATACTGTCATCATATAGCAACGCTAGATGTAGTGGATGCAGCTAGTAGTGAAACCTTGTGATTACAATTCAAAAAATTATACAGTATATGTTCTTCTCATGTGACTTGGACGTCTGTAGTATTTTAAGCTTGAGATACACATCGGTGTTCTTCAATGGCGCTGAAGCCTACATTGTTGGATGCATCCCACCAATCTCAGCCTCCATGCTTTAACCGGACTAAGTTGATCTTGAGGGCCAACATTCAAGGCCGCTCGTCTTCCACAGTTTTTTTGCCAATCAGTTTGTGTAAAACATCACACTTTTAAATAACTATTTTAATAATTAGATCAGGACATACATTAAAATGATGTAATAAACGCCATTGAAATAAATTAAATACTCATAGCACACAATTTACAATCATACAAAGTTGGGGTACGATTTTAATCTAAAAAGCACTTGTTCACATTGACCTGTGAGAAAGTAAACTTGCGCTTGCGATCTCCAACTTTGAAGGTCTTGCACAGAAACGACACTTATGTGACATACTTAAAAAAAGAGATTCCAAAAAGCAGGACATTTCGAAGCGACAAATGTAACAGGGTTACACGCGCCCTTGTAAGAAAGGGCGGGTCGCACAAGATTTGCGACCGTACATAGGTGTGTATAGCACAGTTAGTGTGATAACACAGTGGTGTGGATACACCGTAACAAGAAGCCACCAATCGCCAGTAGTAATTCATATTAGTATATTAACTAGGTTCTGCTATATTAATTAGGTATTACTATATAAATTAGGTAAACCTAGGGTTTTAGCTCTGCTGCAACGAAAACAATTCTGTTCGTTTGCCTTCGTTAAGGATTCCGTACTTAAAAGCAGCGTACTACGATCCACTACAACTGTACTGGTTCATGGAAAGAACGTAAGGTCGGTGACTTTAGTTAAGCTTCCTTACGCAAAGAGCTACGGTAGCCCCGCTGCACTTGGTAGCACTCGTAGTCAATCTACGCCTGAGCTGTTACGACTTATCCTCAGTGAGGATGAAAGAATACTCTTATTTGCCCCAGAGCATGAAGGACGGGCTTAATAAGCTGATGTCCCTGCTGGGCCCTGAGGGTGTGGAGCACCTCATTGCGCATGTGGCCCGAGGCCATACGCGCGCGCCTAGGGGCGCTTCCAAGTTATGAAAATGATCTGTTGGAGCACTTACAGCAGATGCTGTACGCGTTGACTGCATTTATGACGCCACCGTCGACGACGGATGATATTTTCCGACCCAGGCCGCTCATGGTGAGCGTTAAGACCTTCAAGGGTAAGAGGGGTATGCAGCTTTAACCGAAGCACCGCGCCTTAGTACCCATTTTCGAGCTCGGACCTCGAGCTTGGAGATAGCTATCGCCACGCGCTGTTGCTCGTTTTGGAGCATGCCAGATGCCATAGCCATCTTGGCCTATTTTATCCGAAGAAGAAGATTGATTCTCTTTATCCTCAAAAGGAGCTGTAGCGTATGCCTCTGCGAGCGTTTTCGCTGTCTAATCAGACATATCGCGTAAGATCCCGTTTCCTTCTGATCGAAAGGGCAAGAAGGAGTTGGTGGACTTTGTCGAAAACTTATGAACTCTCATTGCCGGGTTGGCAGCAGATCCTCTCTCCGAGGTGGTTGCAATGACCGTCTTTATGGAGGTCCTCAGCACTGGCGTGGAAATCTCCCGTAAGCATCCATCTTCTTTGAAGAAGCGGTGAACGTGGCATTAAATGACGAATTCAACTTCAAAACGGCTTGGCTTGGTTCGAATGCACACCCTCAGAGCTTGTTGAGCGGGCCTGAGCCAATAGATCTTAGCTATGCTGAGAAGGAGGAGGGAGAGCTCTAAGCTGCTGATCAGCGTGGAAATACCCGACGGTGTTTTGTTTGTGGAGACACCCGTCTCCATCGGACGATTTATCCCTGCGCAAGGCGTGCCAAGGTTCGACGAAACGACTTCCCGCTTCTAACCATTCTGGTTTGACGCGGGGAAACGAGACCACCCAGTAGGCGCAAAGCCTCCTACTTGGTAGAGACTGAGTATTGTTATGCCCCAAAGAGGTAGAGGACAGGAAGGTCCAGCCCCGAAGATCTTCGTGCGCTTAATCACGGAGTGTGTGTGCAAGTCGGGCTTGCAGGTCGTAGAAGTGACCGTGAAGGGCTTCGATAAGTCACGGAAAATTCTTATTGGTTCTGGTGCGTCCGGCGATTATGCTCGACGATCCACGATCGAAGAGAGTTAGCCTTATGCTGAGGCGCTGAAAGCGCAGTTGAGTGACATCGTCGCTGTTCGCTTAGCTACGGGAACTTATGTCACTGTGTCGAGGATCCCTGTGGACCTCGGTATCATGTTCCTTGACTTTAATAGCGTGAATAGCTGTCTAGGCTTAGACTTGGATGCAAGGTTTGACCTTATTCTCGGTATGGCATGGTTGGAACAACATGAGCCATGGATCGACTGGAGGTCGAAGTCCTTGGGCGCTACGTGCACGTCTCCTAGTGAAGCTTTGATGAGTCATGAACCCACCTCAGCTAGAAAGCAGAAGCGCTATTGGCGCGGGCACTGCACCGGAACGGTCAATGTGCTAGATATCGGAGTATCGGAGTTGTTAAACACCAAAGGTTTTGGACAATAGTCCCGAGTGTGGCTCGCGGGCTGAACGTAGAGTGGCACGTAAACCAATGAGCGCAGCTCAATTATTTAAACAATCACTGCATGCCAAGAATAGCATGGTCGGCCGAGGGCTGAGGCATCTAAAGCGAGACCCTTGTGGTGCACGTCGAGTGGCACGCAACCCAATGAGCACTGCTCAGTTACAAAGCAGTTGCTGTGCACCAATAATGGCATGGTCAGAAGAGGTCCGAGGCATCAAGGGCGAGACCCTTGTGATGCGCGTGGAGTGGGACGTAATCCATTGAGCACTGCTCACGTTTCAAAGCATTTGCTGCATTCCAAGAGTAGCATGGTTGGACGAGGTCCGAGTTATCCTGGGCAAGGCCCTTCAGATGCGTATAGAGTCACGTTATCCACTGGACGAAGACTGCGCTCCACGACCAAAGTAGGTCAGCTGTATGCTGAGGCGCAGGAAGCGCGGTTGAGTAGAACCGTCACTGTTCGCTTAGCGACAGGGACTTGTGCCACTATGCCGAAGGTCCCTGTGGTCCTCTATGTCAAGCTTCTTGACTCTGATAGCGTGGAACGCTGTCTAATCTTAGACTTCTGCTAAGAAACAGAAGCGCTGTTAGTGCAGACACTGGACCGGGACGGTCAATGGCTGGATCTCGGAGTATTCGAGCTGTCAATCACCAAAGGTGTTTTGGACAAGGGTCCCGAGCGTGGCTAGCACGCTGAACGTGGAGTGGCAAGTAACCCACTGAGCACTGCTCACGTTCTGAAGCAGTTGCTGCATGCCATATATGGTATGGTCGGACGAGGTCCAAAGCATCCTGGGCAAGGCCCTTTTGATGCACGTGAAGTTGCACGTAATCCACTTATCGAATGCCGCGGAAATAGCAGCTCTTCTTTACAATGCAGCCTGCTGCAAATTCGTGCAGCTGGTCAGTGATGAGAAGAGGATGCGCTGAAATTACAGTAGGAAAAAATCATAGACCCAGCTATTTTAGTGCCTTGTCCATAAGTCTTCGGATATTGTAAACAACATCAAGGCTCCGATGGAGCGGGGAGTGGGGACACTGGATGACACCGAGTGCGTGTTCCCACTGGTCTCGATGAGACCTAAAACCTCTATAGAGAAATGACGGCGAAGCCGTATCGTATTTGCAAGACGCCGAGCATCGATCCTAAACTAGGATTTGTCTACCGTAGACGGTAGTGCACAGCTATATACCCTCGTCTACGGTATGACGGGAAAGGAAGCTGGCGACGTCATCCTCGAGGCTATTCCCGCGGTGGATGCTCTTTTTGAGCTGGACGAGATGTCCTTCGAAGAGTTTGGCGGTGCCTTGAAGGTAGGCAACTTAGCCGAGGTGGTAATTATAAGACCGAACAAGAAGTTTAACCCGTCGTCGCTTCTGGATAAAGCTGTCTTGGAAGACACTTAGAAAGTGCTGAATGCACGAAGTGTATCGTCGATTCTGGAGGAACCTTCAGTCTCATAATATCATATGGTAAAAAATCCAAAGACGTCCGCCGTCGATCCTACCTATCTGCCGAGGTGTGCGTCATGAGATTGACCTAGTTTCTGGAAACCAAATACTGCGTAGCCCGCCAATGGCCTCTGCTTAAAGAGCGATGTGACGTCATTGACGATTATTCTGAGCAAAGCACGAGGTAGGAATGGTGCATGAGAGTAAGTCTTCCCATTCGACACCCACGTTTTGTGTCCGGAAGCCGAACGGCAAGTGGCGTATCATTCACGCTTATATTAAACTAAATGCTGCCACCATCCGGCACAAACGCCAATTCTAGAGAGGATGTCCCCCAGAACAGCATGGTTGGCTGTAAAAAGTACAGTGCGCTCGACTTGGTCGATGGTTATTACTAATTGCTCATAAGAGCAAGTGATATTCCGCTGGTAGCGGTGAGTTATCCGAGCGGCATGCTCTGGGAGTGGCTGGTGATGCCCCAAGGGCTGTCAAATACACCAGCA